CTCTCTCTCTCTCTGTGTGTGTGTGTGTGTGTGTGTGTGTACCACGACGAGGAGTGCAATTCCAGAGAGAAAAAATGCTGTCCTGCCTAATCCTGCTGCCTCTCTGGCTGCTGCCCACTGCCCGCTGTCCTGCCTAATCCTGCTGCCTCTCTGGCTGCTGCCCGCTGTACGCTGTCCTGCCTAATGCCCGCTGTACCATGACTAGGAGTGAAATTCCAGAGAGAAAAAATGAACCCGGACAGCAAAGAAACTGAGTGTAGTGGAATATGGACGCATTTGCGAACAGGTACGAGGTGAAGTTATATTACAGCAGTGAGGCAGGCGACGACATCAACTACGGAAGCCAAGACATGCGACGGAGGTACGATGATGAAGAGAGTTCTGCTAGGGATAGAGGTCGAAGAACGGGAAGGACTTGGATCAGTAGGGTATAAATATTTGAGACAGTGGCTGTGATGATTACCTGAGCAGTGAGGCAGAAGGGTAGTCGCGGCAACTACATTGTCGCATGCCATGGGCAAGACGTGTATACTGTGAAAGTAAAGCCTCACACGTTTTGTCTAAATATTGCAAGTGTGTATCTCTATGCACGGTGCTTTGAACTCGCGGGAAGCACCCGTGAAGATCGGCACTGGTTCACAGAGAGAGCTCACCGTTTTGTAGTTCTTATAGTATCTTTCACTATCATCTCTCATCTCCCCGTCTTTCAGATCTTATTGTATCTTTCACTATCATCTCTCATCTCTCATCTCGCCGTTATCCAGTTCTTATAGTATCTTGCACTATCATCGCTACTACCCGGACCGTGGATTCTGGATTGGCGACTACAGCGTATACTTTGGAGATAGCGATCTGGAGCGTTGTGGAGATTCGAATTTTCGTTTTACTATTTTGTCGTTGTTCTATTCATGTATCATCAGCTCTTTTGGTGACCTTTGACCGTATTTTGGTGCTCTGTATTCGTGTAAGCTGTGAAGACCAAGACCTGAACATCCGATCACTTCAGGGAAGATGGCGCGTTCGCGCTCATCGTCGGCAAGAAGGAGGCGCAGGCACTCTGCATCATCGTCATCAACGTCGCATGGGAAGAAGCGTGCAAAACGAGGGAGATCAAGGTCACCTCGGGAGAGAAGGCACAGGACTAGATCTCCATCGCCAAGACAAAGAAAGACGGAGTCGGAATCACCAAGGACATTCGTACGAACACCATGGGAGCAGAGGCGAAACGATTTTCCCCCTCCAGGAAACAGAGCTTGGTTTACAGCGGACCTGAGGGAGGAAATCTTCGCGTTGAGACGTGAAGTGGAGAAATTGAAGAAGACCATCGAGCAACTTATCTCGAAGGGATCAGACAACAAGAAACTGTCCCCGGGTGGAGGTACTGGAGCCATCGAGCACACCGCAGAGAAGGAGGCTGGACCAAGCGAGCCGGTGAAAACTGCATCGCCAGTCACGGCAGCCGAACTCAAGACATGGATAGATAAAGCCTTGGAATCGACTCTTCCAAAGAAGAAAGTGACAGAGGCGGGCAAGGTAGCGATCACAGAAGGCAGGACCGACACTAGGAAGCAAGCCGCCACAAAAGAAGGGAATGTGGAGAAGATGGTGTCTGAGGTTCGCAGAGACGTGAACGAGATCAAGCTCATGAAGTACGATCTCGTGGTAGTGAAGGGCACCCTGAAGAAGATTAACAAGCCTACCAGGACACTGACCCCGCACGTGTCATCATCAGTGAACCCGAGACTGTACAAAGGATCGATGATGATTGGCGGGCCGTCCTCAGTGCATGTCAGTCGAAGCGAGCCGAGTCGGTCGTTTCCCCCACATCCGAAGAGAGGCCGCACGAAGATCAAACGACAGATAAGAGCAAGTAAAACCAAGCGAAGCATCGACTTCGGTTTCGAACCACTAACTGACTATCAGCTATTGCGACTGCACACTACATATCTGAAGGCGCTATGCAAGATCCACGATATCAAGTACTTCGACAAACCGCAAGCCATTTCTGACCTTAGGCGAATTCCTGGACTCATCACGTACGAAGGGAGAGATTTCGTACATGACTCAGAATTCGAGACACAGATCGAGCCAGAAGACATCAAGGAAGAAGCCTCAAGCTATGAGGATGACGACGACTCGGATTGGAGTGATTCAACCGATGATGAGTCAACATCCACGTCATCAAGCGACCAAAAGATATCGGGAAGGTAGAGGGGCCAGACCCATCGGGGTGTCTCACCAAGGGACAAAAGTGGGAACAGATACACCGTATAGCATCATCTGTTGAGTTATTGGTGAACAGAGGGAGAATAAAGGACTGTTCAGAGTACAAGAATCTATATAGGCTACTTTTCATCTCCTTAGCCATAGAAGGTAGTATCCCTTGGGCAGGATCCTTAGTCGACCTATGGATCGCACAATATCAGAAGATAGACACACTATTGGAATCGAATTACAGCGTATACGTTCTCATCTCACCATGGTGTAGACATTATTACATAGGGAAGACCGGACGAAAACTAGACAAATGATGGAGCGAGCATGTGAATTTAGCCCGAAACTCGAATAGGGGGGTACAACGGAAACTGTAGAGCTGGTTACGAAAGTTTGGATGGGCGAAATACGTACTCATACCGATTTGGACGGGAGTGAAAATCGAGGTAACGGCGATGGAAGAGGCACTGAGAAGGAGACTGGATCCATACTTGAACACGAGAGGAAAAAGAAAAAGTACACAAAAGAAAGGTTGTCAGAAAAGAGGTAAGAAGAACAGAAGAAGGACTGTTAATTAAAATATTCATGTACTATTCAAATCAACAAGGTCTGCAATCACAATGCAACTGACAAAAGTACTTCAAGCGAAAGCAATGATACAGTGCACAACGAAAAAATTATGGTATGAAAAATAGAAGATAATTAAACGCATGTATGGATGTACCATAATCGAAATTGATGGCACACAATTCATGCTAAAAGGCTGCAGACAGATGATGGAACAAGGATGCAAATTCTGTGTAATCAAGCTAGTCTGTACAGGACCATCATCAAACAAACACATGAATACATTGATTAATTATCTGAGAGCTCCATGGACAAGAAAATAATTATATAAACTGTCAATGGATGACATATTGATTCTTTTATCAAAAGTGGGGTCAATAACTGGAAAAAGAAACAAAGAGACACAATCAAAGGTATATTCGCACGAATCACAAAGAAGAAATTCGCATTCAACATAAAGAGAAGGCTCATTTTTAAGATCCCGTACGCGACACAAATCAACTTGAAGCAAGTGAAGAAAGCAACAACAGGAGCAATTGTAAACAATGTTTTGAATGTTAATCTCACAAACGATCTGGTATCCCGCATAAGGGTGATGTTCAAAAAATCAAGAACAGTGGGTGAAATATTACATAACCACAGACAGGACAAAGAAACCATACCCGATTGTGAATGCTCAAAGAACCAACTTCCAAAAATTGAGGGACATGTTGCTTGCCGACTGAACCATATTGAAAAGAACCAACTCCTATGGAATGCAAAGAATGTACCACACATGAATGCAAAAATTGGAAGACAGGAAATACATAAAACAATCCTGCACGTAATGACAATCATACCACAGAGTCTGAAACAGGCAGAGTACAGTCACATCGACACATCGGAATGTATCAGCAAACAAGTGTATACTGAACACCACCTTGACATATCAGAAGTATGGAAAGTGAAGAGAAAACTGAAAGATTCGGTACTATCGCCATTGGATAGAAACCCGGGAGAAACATTTATCGAATGCCCGAGAACGGTGTTTGAAAAAACGACGAATTTCTTCCTGAAATCGGTACACTATGAGATCATCCAAAAAACAGAAGACGAAATTCTTCGGCAAGCAAAAACTACGTACCAGGCTTTCGGATTGGGGAAAATTGCGAAGTGGGATGACAAAGGCACATACGGAAGTGCGTATAGAATACCAAAGAACAAAGATGTAACCAGGAGGCGACCGATTGTACCAACCTATAACGAACCATCACGACAAGCATCGAAAATCCTATCAAGAGTCATTAATTTCCTATGTAAAACGTGGCAGTTGGGGTTTGATTTGCAAGGCACGAACCAATTAGTTCCAAGACTGCAACAAAACAACAACAAAATTGTATGAGTGCGATGCCACACTGATATGACGTAAAAGATATGTTTTAAAACTTAGATCATACACATATACAGAACGCCATGGAATGGATACAACAGACAGCGAAAGTGAAGAACTGTGAAAATTGAAGCTCTCTCTGATTTGTTATATTATGATATAAACCACGCGTATTTCAAAGTACAAGGCGCATTACTGCGACAGATAAAAGGCGTGCAAATGGGAAAGGATTCTAGCCCACCTATTGCAAATATGGTATGTGCCTACGACGAGTACAAATGGTACTCCGAAATCGGAATGGAAAAAAAACTCATTCACGGAATGAGATTTGTAGATGATGTAATGATGATAATAATAGCAAATTAAAACACTCTGAAGAGAGAAATTGCATGCATAAAATCATTCGAAATGTGCTATCACACTTCACTGAAGTTGGAAACAACATCGGATACAAACAGCAAAGAATGGAACTATGTGGAAACAAAAATTACCAAGAATGAACACAAACCCCTCCTGAAGTGTACGCATAAACAAAAGAATGAGGAGACACTCCGCGAGGGGTTGTTGAGCTCTCTCTCTCTAAGGTATATTCATCACTTCTGGAGTGTTGGTTCAGTCAACACAAAAGTCCTAACGATTATCGGAACCCTACACAGGATGGTAGCGAACACATATGATGTCCGAGATTTACCCGCAGTTATGAAACTATATTGCACAGAGCTCAAACTGATGGAATACCCGTGGGAGGTACCTCGAGCGGCAATACTGGCCTACATCAGAAACTGTAAAGACAATGATATACGCAATGTATTCCTGGAATTCCTACAGACTGAAGAAGCACGGCAGCACACGGCACGGAGAAAGATTTGAACGGAGGCATGAAAAGATAATTCTGAAACCAAGAACAAAAACAAAAATAAAACAAAACAAAAACAACAACAAAAAGAAGTGCGAGATGTCAGCGGGGGAGAAATGCGGATATAACAAAAGATACCGTACGAATGTAATGCAAAAGACAATTGGAAATGACGCTGGATTCTTTGTTTCATAAAACATATTATTCAAGAGGAAATAAAGAGTCCGGTACCACGAGAAATCGGGGAAGCAACCAAGAGATTGAGTAAAATATAACTCACCTGCAAAAGAAAGAAAAAGAAATTTCCAAGAGGTCCGAAAAATCCATGCAGGCAGACAATAAACGAAAATCAGTAAAATGAAGCTAAACATACACTCAAACCAAATTCATTCACGTAAAGTTTCACAGAATATAATTGCAATGTACCACGGCGAGGAGTGAAATTCCAGAGAGAAAAAATGAACCCGGACAGCAAAGAAACTGAGTGTAGCGGAATACGGACGCATTTGCGAACAGGTACGAGGTGAAGTTATATTACAGTAGTGAGGCACGCGACGACATCAACTACAGAAGCCAAGACATGCGACGGAGGTACGATGATGAAGAGAGTTTTGCTGGGGACAGAGTTCGAAGGATGGGAAGGACTTGGATCAGTAGGGTATAAATATTTGAGACAGTGGTTGTGATGATTACCTGAGCAGTGAGGCAGAAGGGTAGTCGCGGCAACTACATTGTCGCATGCCATGGGCAAGACGTGTATACTGTGAAAGTAAAGC